CCGGCGCGGAGCCGCTGGCCGGAGACAGCGGGGCCCGAGCGGGCTGGCTTTGCTTTCTGCTCCTCAGCGCTCGAAACCTGGGTGGCATCTGCAGCCAGACCTAGAACCGAGTCGCGGACCCGCAGAGCGGGGCGTCCTCCAGCGAAGCTGGCGCCCCTAGCATGAACAGGAATCGCGAGGGCGTCGGACGCGAGGATGGAGTGGGCGGCAGCAAACACGCACCCCTGAGAAATCAGAAGTGGAGCCAAGGTATGACGGGAGTTGGAGAAATAAGGGGCCTTGCCAGACAGTATCCTCGGGGAACCAAGGACGGTTCGTAGGATTTTCATGGGGCAGCAATCGATGTCTAAGTACTGTTTCACGGAGATCCTACCAGTTGATTGGGTGGAGTGAGTTTGGTAAATTGGGTAAAATCCCAGACCCTGACATCTTTGTGAAACATACAGTACAAAATTACATTCAGCGTCTCTCACTTTCATCTCACCATTTAACTATCACCATTGTTTTTATTCTGCTTTCTTCTTTTTTTTTTTTTTTTTTTTTTTTTTTGAGGGTCTTGCTCTGTCACCCAAGGGGTGGAGTGCAGTGGTGTGATCACGGCTCCCTGCAGCCTCCACCTTCTGAGCTCAGGTGATCCTCCTGCGTCAGCATCCTGAGTAGCTGGGACTACAGACACGCAGCACCATGCCCTGCTAATTTTTGTATTTTTAGTAGAGACGGGGTTTCACCATGTTGGCCAGGCTGGTGTTGAACTCCTAGGCTCAGGTGATACTCCTGCTTCAGCCTCCTAAAGTGCTGACATTATAGGCCTGCTGCATTTTTAAATAAATGTTTTACAAAACTGGGATCATTACTATATGTAGATTTTTTGTGTTGCTCTTTTCCATGTGTCATGAATATGTCATTAAGAATTCTTGCACACCATTGTATTTGTCAGAATTCACTTAAACTGAACAAGGCAAAAGGTAATATATTGGCTTGTGTGACTGAAAAGTTCAAGGACTTTAAACTGGTGAATTCAAATACCCAAATAATAATTTTAGGGCTCGCATCCTCCATCTTTTGACTCTGCTTTTTCTGAGTTTGGCCTCATTTTCCTTGGTGGTAAATGACTCTCTAGTGGTATGAAGGAAGGCTCCACACTTTCACTGTCCCGGTCTAGCAAATCCAGGAACAAGAGTATCTCTTTTCTTTCTAATTGTTCCAGCAGAAATCCCTGTAATGAACCTCACTGGCTGGTATTGAGTCATGAGCCCACCCCTGGCCCAGTTACTATTTGAAGGCAAGAATGTGTGGCATTGAAATGCTCAGATTAGCTGTGCCTGGGCCAACAGCAGGGGGAGGAGCTGGATCAGCTCCACATCTAGTGAGTGCTGAGAGGCACCACCCACATTCCCCATTCGAGACTGAGGCACTCATACCCTCAGCTCCTGGGAGTGGTGGCACTGATGCCTCTCAGCTGAGACCTCTCTGTGAACTGCCCTTATCCAGAGAGCCACCCACACCAAGGTCATACCCCTCCCAGTGTCAGCCCTCATTCAGTGACTGATGCAGGGTGTTTATATAAGGGCTGAACCCCAACCTTTTGCCTTAAGTTGGGATAACATTGAAGGATTATTCTAGCTCCAGAGCTCTTGATAGAATAATCTGAGGCCTTTTGGCAGTTCATCACAGGTCAACTCCTCCCTCTGCCCAATCCCCACTTCCTGGACTCCCCAACAAGTGTTGGTTTATTCCCCATAAACTTTCTGCATGAAAATTTCCATCTCAGGGTCTGTTTCTCTAGGGAACCCAAACTAAAACACCCATTCAAACAACATGGACTGGTTGGGGTGTGGGGGAAGAATGGATCCCCAGAGGAGAATTAGGGTGCTGATACAAGAAAGGGGCATGGGCCAATTAAAAATAACAAGTCATACAGCTATTAATTTTAATGACCACATGGTATTACATTGTAGAAGTGGATCACAAGTTATTTACCTACTGTATTAGTTTTCACACTGCTATAAAGAAATACCCAAGACTGGGTAATTTATAAAGAAAAGAGGTTTAATTGACTCGCAGTTCCACATGGCTGGGGAGACCTCAGGAAACTTACAATCATGACAGAAGGGGAAGGAAGCGCTCTTATGTGGTGGCAGGTGAGAGAGAGAGAGAGAGAGAGAGAGAGAGAGAGAGAGAGAGAAGGGGAAACCATCACTTATAAAACCATCAAATCTTGTGAGAACTCCCTCACTATCATGAGAACAGCATGGGGGAAACCACCCTTATGATCCAATCACCTCCCACCAGGTCCCTCCCTTGACACATGGGAATTACAGTTTGAGATGAGATTTGGGTGGGGACACAGAACCAAACCATATCACCTACTATCCTATTCTTAACACCTTGATGAACACTTTCAACAGTGTTTATGTGTGTGTTGTATTTCCTTAGGATGCATCCCCGAAAGTGGAATTCATGGGTGAAAGCATATTAACTTTTTAAAGCTTTTTCCTACTATATCCTCCAGAAGGTGGTAGCAACTGATTTTCCTTCCGGAAGGCTGAAACTGCCTATTTCTGTGTACCCTCACAGCTCCTATTGTGGTTCTTTAATAGATGAAGAATGGTATCTTAAGTCTTCTAAATGACTTAACTATTGAGGCTGAACATTTCCTCTATTCATTCTGTGAGCTATGTGTCCATGGCTTGGGAGGACATTAAAGAGTTTTTCTTAGCTCATGACAAGAGGTTTACACATTTGAAAGCCCTTTCTAGTGGCCAATTTCCTCACCACAAAGAACTTAATATATATTTTAGTGAAGAGATGAAAGTACATGTTGGGAACATTCAACCATCAGTTCTTAGATTGATGAATAAGACAAAATAGAATGATTTCATATTTATTTAGATATTTTAAAGATATGGCAAAGAACTCTGTACAAAGATATACATACTGGATTAGGAAAGGCTTATCACAGCTTGTCAGAGCTGGACCTTGGAGATGTCTTGCAGATGGCTCAGAAGAAAAGGAGGAACATTGCAGTATGGAGGAGAGCTGGAGGCAATGCTCACATGTAGAGTGAATAAATTTTAAGATAGAGGAGGCATTAGTGAATAACAGTAGATACAAACTGGCTAGTGTCAGAAGTCATAGAAAACTTCACACACACACACACGTTTGTGGTAAACAGTGGGATAGCCACAGGGTAAGACATTTGGGGAGTATTAATCTGAGATGAATGTGCAAAATGAACTGAAGTTGAGAAGACAAGATAGCTGATGGTGGAGGAGTAGCTGGAATGAGGCCCTGGGTAGGACTGTTAGAGTAGGAATGAGGGGGAACAAATTTAGAAGACTAAATCAGTGGTACCTCATGGTGGTTACGAAATGCAAAGAAAAGAGGACAAAGGGTTCTGAAGCAGAGAGTAGACCAGAACTAACTCCACAATAGAAATAAGGAAACAAGACTTGGCTTGAGATGAGTAAAAAATAATGTGGGGTTTGGTTTGGGAGTAACTAAGTGTCTTCCACCGCACTGCTACATGCCTCTAGGATGCTGAAAACGTTTAGTAGCCAAGATGTTATTGTGAGAGATGTTTCCACAGCAACGATAGCTGAATAATGAGATTACCTCAAAATCATTAGAAACGAAGGCTTTGGCTGGCGCAGTGGCTCACGCCTGTAATTCCAACACTTTGGGAGGCTGAGGCAGGCAGATCACCTGAGGTCGGAAGTTTGAGACCAGCCTGGCCAACATGGCGAAACCCTGTCTCTGCTAAAAATACGAAACGTGGCCAGGCGCGGTGGCTCACGCATGTAATCCCAGCACTTTGGGAGGCCGAGGAGGGTGGATCACGAGGTCAAGAGATCGAGACCATCCTGGTCCACATAGTGAAACCCCATCTCTACTAAAAATACAAAAAATTAGCTGGGCATGGTAGCGCGTGCCTGTAATCCCAGCTACTCAGGAGGCTGAGGCAGGAGAATTGCCTGAACCCAGGAGGCAGAGGTTGCGGTGAGCCGAGATCGCACCATTGCACTCCAGCCTGGGTAACAAGAGCGAAACCCCGTCTAAAAAAATAAAATAATAATACGAAACGTAACTGGGAGTGATGACGCACGTCTGCAATCCCAGCTACTCAGGAGGCTGAGGCAGGAGAATCACTTGAACCCAGGGGGCGGAGGTTGCAGTGAGCTGAGATCGCGCAACTACACTCCAGCCTGTGCGACAGAGCGAGACTCCATCACAAAAAAAAAAAAAAAAAAAAAGAGAGAGACAGAGAGACAGAGAGAGATAAGAAACGAAGGTTTTGAAGTTCCCCTCAATGCAGGGACACACGTCAGCCACTAGGTAGCAGGAAAAGTCTAGAGGTGTGCCCTGCCTGCCCGCTTCATGCTGGACACACCCACTGCCCCGCCCACCTCGGTGTGACTTCGCGCCGTTCAAGAGGAATGATCTGTGATCCATGGATAATCAGGCCAGGTACCACCTGTACTTGAGGAAGGCTGACCTCTGTGTGATGCTAGAGTCTAGAGTCTAGACTTCTCCCAGAAGACTTCTCATCCATTATTTTTGCATCACGGAATTTCAGAGTTGAAGGGAACTCTCAGATTGTGCGCCCCCTCTACAGTTTTAGAGATGAAGAAAACAGACCCGCTAAGGAAAGCGAAGTGACTTGCCTAGTACCACAGGAAGTGGGAGCAGGGAAAAGAACTTTCATTTTAGCTTTCAAGAGAACTCAGGCCGGACGCGGTGGCTCACGTCTGTAATCCCAGCACTTTGGGAGGCCAAGGTGGGTGGATCACTTGAGTTCAGGAGTTCAAGACCAGTCTGGCCAACATAGTGAAAACCCGTCTCTACTCAAAATACGAAAATTAGCCAGGCGTAGTGGCAGTTGTCTGTAGTCCCAGCTACTTGGGAGGCTTGAGGCACAAAAATTGCTTGAACCCGGGTGGTGGAGATTGCAGTGAGCTGAGACTGTGCCACTGCACTTCAGTCTGGGCGATAGAGCAAGACTCCATCTCAAAAAAAAAAAAAAAAAAAATTCGTGGCTCACCTAGAGGACGAGGCCTTTCTTTCCCACATGTGCCATGATTTCCGGGGCTCTGAAAGGTAAGGGACAGAAAAAGTACCCTTCTTTCCTTCTCGCCACTGGCTGATATGCATAGGTCACCAGTATCATATGTTTTAAATTATGTTACACATTTTTTTTCCTTGGTTAAGCACAAACTTGTAAATCTCATTTCCAAGAAACTTTCTAGAAA